GCTGCCGCACGGTGCGGGGTGGCCGCTGAGGGGAGCCGCTGTGGCTGAGGGAGCACCCGCGCCAAGAACGAAATGGCGCCCGGGACAGGCTTCGGTACGTGCGCGGGCCTTGCCTTGCCTTGCCTTGCCTTGCCTCTCGGTTGGGCGCTGCAGGTAGCGTGGCAGCAAGCCCTGCGCCTGGCTGGCTCCTCACGGACATAAAGGCAGAGTGGGAGATGAAAGTTCGTGACCTTGGTGCACCGCTTTTGTTTCAGCGTTTTTGTTGGTTTTAACTTAACAAAACTGGACTGCTAAAATTAAGTTTAGCGAAATACACAAAGTAAAATTGTATTAGGTAGTGAGGGGGGAAATACACGGCTTAATTCCTTTTTTCCCTTTGGTCTTGTAGGCATGAAGGGCAGTGAGGAGAAGCTACTGACAACCCCAGTTTTTAAGTTAAGCACATGTCAGGGTTTGAACTGCATCACTAGGTTCAGAAGAATCATGCCTTGTAAGTCACATCTCTTCAGGAGCGTTGCTGCTTTGGGAAGAGCATGACTGCATCATGACTGTCACTACTGTTTCATTTCGGTCACAGCAGCAGGTTGTGCACTTGCCACGTTCAGCATTACCAGATTGAGCATTGCTTTCATCTGCTGTCCAGTTATTAAAAACATGGTGCTCCAGTCATCATTAAAGAACTGCCTTCAGCTGTCCTGCATCCTCCAGGCTCCAAAAGCTGGCTTCAGAAACACAGCAAGTGGAGGCCTCATTATCCAGTCTACTTCTAATGATGTTTACCAGAATCTTGCTGTGGAAGACTGGATACATGACCACATGAATTTAGAGAACCGACAGGTCCTTTTCCTTTGGAGAAATTCCCCTGCTGTGGTAATAGGGAGACATCAGAACCCCTGGCAGGAAGGCAACCTCAGGCTATTGAGGCAAAAAAATATAAAACTAGCCAGGAGAAGAAGTGGAGGAGGGACAGTTTACCATGACTTAGGCAATATCAATTTGACTTTCTTTACAACCAGAAAAAAACATGAACGAATGGAAAACCTGAAACTAGTTGTGAAGGCCCTGAAAGCCTTGCGCCCACAGATAGATGTACATGTCACTGACAGATACGATATCTTGCTAGACAGGCAATACAAAATCTCAGGTACTGCTGCAAAACTGGGAAGGACAGCTGCTTATCACCACTGTACCTTACTCTGTAACACGGATAAGTTTGTTTTATCTTCTGTGCTAAGAAGTCCTTATAAAGGGCTAAAAAGCAATGCTACTCCTAGTGTGCCTGCCTCAGTGAAAAATCTCTTTGAAGAGGATCCTAGTTTAACTTGTGAGCTGCTCCTGGATGCCATTGCTGAAGAATATGCTATGCAGCACCACATCGATCATCATATCAACGTAATAAACCCAGCTGATGAGACTGTGCTTCCTGGAATTAATAATAAAGCTAAAGAACTACAAACCTGGGAATGGGTGTATGGAAAGACGCCGAAGTTCAATGTTAGCACTCATTTTAACATAGCCTATAAAGATTCTGTTCTTGATGTTAAAGTAGATATGGATGTAAAGCATGGAAGGATTGAAGTCTGTAACATTGATCTGCCAGAGCAGTGGCTGCCACCAGCACTGTGCAGTGAGCTGGTGAAGAGCCTCACCGGCAGTAAGTTTTGCCCAAATGAAACCACTGCGCTAGTGACAACATTACTAAGAGCATGGCCACAAGATGGTGACTTGCAGAGCAGATGGCATCTGCTCTGTGAGAATATGAAAATGTTAATGTGACTTGCACTTTGAAAATGCAAGTTAAACTGCTGCTGCTTTTTATTTATTGAAAACAAAATTAAAACATTAATTTCTACAAGTGAATTTTTCTCTTATTAGTCATTCAAACTGTTTAATTCTGTGATTTTGCCTAGTATTACTTACTAGCAATTAGATTTACACTGCCTGCACCCAAGGTTCCCAAACTGTGGGACGTAAGCCACTGCAGTAGGCTGCAGCCCTGTATTGCTCCATGCTGACGGACATCATCACTGCTTAAATCAGGAAAAGCAGTGTAGGCATCCCAAACTGGCTCTAGAGCAAAGGTGGTACAAATGGCTGATGGAGATGGGATGGGGTAGATGGAAAACTGCTGTGGTGCTGCTCAACTGGATCCCCCAGCCTGCATCTTGCTCCTTGCGGATGGTAGCCCAAAGGCCATGTCTCAGCCCCTGAGCTGTGTGGGAGAGAGACATCTCCCTGGTTTCTGGTTGAAAGTCCTTTCTTGCAGAGTGCTGGTGACCCTTTGCCTAGTAGTAACCTAAGCTCACTGTTGAGTATTGAATCAGTCCAGCAGTTCCACCTTGGATTAGGGCTTTGGTCCATGCACACACAAGAGCAGAGAAAGGCTTAGGAAATTCATTGTGGGGGTTTATGTGATGAGGGTAGGAAAGGCTAACTGGGGCAGAGGCCATACATGCCTGGCACAAAGCTGGGAGTCACTGCTGACATAGGTACTGCTATCTGAGCTAAAAATGGGAATATTTCTACGTTACGAAATACATATCTAGGAGAAACAAGTTCCTTTTGTTAACACCTAGGAGAACATTAGCTAATGAAAGACAATAATGAACTGAAAATGACAGTTTTCACATTAAATAAAAATAATAGCTTAATATAAAAACATTATGAAAGAAAACCTCAAGATGAATTTTTCTGTTGACGAATAAGCAGAATGCAACTCTGATCAGGTTAGAACAAAAGCAATTTATTGCTACAGCTGAAGGAGAGGACCCAGCTCAGCCGTGACAGACTCTGCTGATGTGAACTTTGCCCAAATAAGGCAGTCACAGAGTTTATACACCTTTGTGTTACACAACTCTTTCTTCACCAAACTGCCCTTGAATAGTAGTGAAATTTGCAGTGGGAGGTTCATAAAGCAAAAAAGCCATAAATTCACCTGTTGAAGTGAGTGCAGCAAGGTAGAGTCCATTCAGGGCACAATATACAGCATAACCCAATTAACATCAGCATCTTTTCCCAGAAGGTTAACTGGAGTCGTAGGACTTAAAGGAAAGCATTGTATCCAGAAAGGAGGGAGGTAGTTACAGAGAAAGGCTTGTTTACTGGATGACATACGAGTTGTCCTGAAATACCAACAGCATTTAGTACTTCTGAAGATAAGGGAACTGCAGGGAAATCAGAGGCACATTAAGTAGATTGAGAAATGCCAGTAACAATAAGGCAAGAAAGAATCTTGCTGTTCTGGCCCAAAGAAAGTAAAGGAGTAGTGATGTTTATGTCCTTGGGGCTGTCCTAATTGCATTTCTGAGGCCCTGGCAAGAAGGAAAGGTTGGGTGGAAAGTTAGGGTGACAGAATCCTGCTTAACTTCAAAGACTTACAGTTAGGTCTGTAGGACATTCTGGCTTTCTTGTCCATACAGGCAACCCTCGGCTGACACTGCAGTAGGAATTTCAAAAGGACCCTTACCTTTCTGAGTGGTACCAAGGGGGTTTCAGCACGGATCAGTCAGTGGTCCTCCCAGGGGAAGCAGGACATCCAAATCCAAGTCACAGTACCAAATTCTGTCATGGAGTAACTGGAATGCAATTTTGATCAGGTCAGAAGAGCAGCAGTTTAGCGCCATAGGAGAGAACACAGAGCAGCAGAGGCAGACAGGAACTCTGCCCAGGTGAAGCAGTTAAAGAGTTTATATACTTCCGAGTTATACAACTTCTTCTTCACCCAGCTGCTGGATAAGCAGGATAACAGCAGCGACTGCAATTCAAATAAGGAGGCTCTAGGCAGATTAGGAAGCCCTAGGCAGTATATCCTTTTATGAATACTTCCCTCCTTTGTTAAATAAATGGTGCTGACCAGATGAGATTGCTAGCTGCAAATATTTCTTCACAAGTCAAATATTTCTTAACAAGCGAGCCCTGCAGAGGCCTCTGGGGTGTTACTTCCAGACTATCACCTTTAGAAGATGGCTGGTTGACCAGCACTCAGTAGGAAGAAATTAATGTCAGAAGTGACTTACCTTTGGTTAAGAAGAGCAGTCACTGGGTGTGGATCCAGCGCTTGGCTAGGACTGGCAGCCACACTGTATCATGGAACAATGCTCTGCTGACTCTAGCGGGGAAGGTAGTTTAAGCTCATCTGCACAGATGGTGGCAGGAGGGACAGCCCTGGCTGCCCAATCCAGGTGATGACCTGATTATGTGAGTGGCAGCACAGAACATGGCCTGGAGAGTCAGTAAAATTATTAAGAAACTGTACTATTAGATTTCCCAGATAATTTGGTTTTTCTCCACTCATTGATGCCAATTCCTCCTCATACATGGTGTTCCTACTGACAGTGAAAGGAACTGTTCAGTGACAAAGGGGTTATAGGTAAAAATTGCAGTGCAGCACCAACTGGTATACCACTGAAGGCTTATTTTACGTATGGAGATTGCATATCCATGGGATCTGCAAGGAAATCTGTAGTCTTAGCTAGTGGATTACAGTCGGATTAGAAAAAGGAGAAAGTTCTAGCAATGAAAAGGCAAGAGAGGGAAGAACATGCTTGCCTCTTGTGGTATTTGTAGAGGACCATATCAAAGACCTACTAGAGCAGAGACGCAAATTGTATTACAAGATGACAGTATCATAGAATCACAGAAGGGTTTGGGTTGGAAGGAACCCTAAAACCCATCTAGTTCCAATGCCCTTGCCATGGACAGGGACACCTTCCATTAGACCATGTTGCTCCAAGCCCCGTCCAACCTGGCCTTGAACACTGCCAGGGATGGGGAAGCCACAGCTTCTCTGGGCAACCTGTGCCAGTGCCTCACCACCCTCACAGGGAAGATCGTCTTCCTTATATCTGACCTAAATCTCCCGTTTCAGTTTAAAGCCATTCCTCCTTGCCCTGTCACTACAAGCCCTTGTAAAAAGTCACTCTCCAGCTTTCTTGTTATCCCCCTTTAGGCACTGAAAGCTGCTTTAAGATCCTGCAGGAGCCTCCTCTTTTCCAGGCTGAACAAGCCCAACTCCTTCAGCCTGTCTTCACAGGAGAGGTGTTCCAGTGCAGATGCAGGAAGTATAAATATTTTAGTTTATTTCCAAATAAGTACTAAAATTTAAAGTTGATCTACAATACTTAAGGTAGCTTTCTATTTTGCCCCTGTATGTTTGAAATTGCTGGGCTAGGTTAAAAGATACAAAGCTTCACATTTGGGATGCTTAGTGTATTCAACAGCAAACATTCTCTTTAAGGCATTACCCACCTTCCTTGAATCACCTATGTAATTATGTATATGTAAATAAATAGTCCAGAGAAGAATTCAAACAGATGACTGTAACTACAAATAGTAAAAAATAACCTTTATTTCCATTAAAAATAGGCATATACTATACACAACTGAATAAAATTGACAACAGTGATTAGAAACCTAGTACCACAGCAGCAAGCCAGGGAGCTCCTATGGAATGTTTGAGGGGTAGACTGATAGCGTACAGCTTCTGTGGCATGTATGTTACTCTTTTTTTTATGTTGCTCTGAAAAGCAGCAACATTATCATGCAAAAGGATAAGATGACAGACCACTGCCAAATTGTGACCCACAGAACAAGGCAAAGACCAGCTCTGATTCTTCTTGATAGCTGTGGAAGAGATTTGTTGTGTTACAAGCAAGAGTAAAGGAATAGCAGCTTTAGGTGACAGAAGGTGAAAGAAGAATAAAGCAAATTTAAAAAATAAAAAGATAACGGAATACACCGGCTATTAGGAAAAATAAACAGAGGAGAGAGAAGTTCTAACAATGAACATGCTACTAGAATATAGAGGCATACTGTATTACAAGATGCATTAAGTGTAAGGCACCTGTCAGTCCTGAAGCTGAAAAGATTTTGATGGGACCTGCACTGCCTGTTCTTCATGTCAGAATGTCTTTGCCAGATACTTGCTGACAATGACCAAGAGCTCTAGTATAAGAAGAAAAAGCAGCAGCAGCTCAGGATACCTTCTGGCTTCCAAAGGATGAAAGAAATACAAGAAAAGACTTTCATCTCTTTTTTTCCTATTATCATAATCCTTAGAATCATTATTAGCAAGAAAGTTTCAGGGTATCCAACTTCTTGAAGAATTAAAAAAATCAATTACTACTTTTTTAAAGGACTATCTTAGTAGCAGGGAAGTAGCTTACTGCAGCTGAGGCTGACATTACCAGCTGCAAGGACAGTAAACTTGCAAGTCAGGGAAAAAGACTGGGAGAGGATCATGCACCCTTTCCACACCTAGTGCAAAGGATGGAAATCAGGTATATGACCATGCATCACAGAATAAAAGAACACACAGGAGTGACAAGGAAAAGAATACAGCTGTTTGCATCCTTTCCAGCTCAAAATCATGCAGAGGTACATAAGAAGGCCCTAAAATGTCTGTATACTGAATACTACAGTGTTTGTATGCAAGGAGCTTGGAAAATGGAAGTTAGATTTGGGGTGGCTGGTAAAGTCCCAAATTAGGTACTACAGGATTGACCAAAACACAGCAGAATAGTAGTCATGACTAGAATACAGAAATTAAAGGAAATAAATAAAGCTGCTTATAAAAGAGGACATGTGGCAGCCCAGCTTCAAATGTTTGTGAAGTGTTCAATTAAAGATATTAAAACCAAAATTTGCTCAAGACAGTAAAGATGCCTTTGACAGGCTCTACTGAGGGTCTGTTATAAAATCAAAATCAAATTTAGACATTACTTATATTGATTAAGAGTATGGGAGAAGCACAGTGAAGGAATTGTACAGCTGATTTCTCAGAATGAAATATCTCAATTATTAAAACCTATACATCATAAAAGCTGTGCTGGACAAGCACTTAGAAGAGTTCCTTCTGAGAGTGGAGAGCTGGAGTCAAGCAGCTCACTCACTAAAAACACTCATTAAAAGAAGTCATATCTGATCACATTTTCTTTGTATGTTTAGTATGAAAGACATCCACTGTTGTTTCATGACAAGGTCGCAAGTCAAAATCACAGTATCCAATGCTGAAACGACCCTGTGGAAATTAACAGAATGGACATGGTGAACATAGAATGAGCTCTTCTGCAGTGTAAGTTAATTAAAGAGGTCAAAGCATTCTTACCTGTGGTTTCTTAAAATAATCAAGACCCCTTCCAATCTTAATCATCCATCCATTGTTGAATCTGTTTTAAAAAATTCATAAATTTGCATACTATGAGCATGTTGAGTAAAAAAAAGGAATATCCACACAATGCACACTCTCCTTGTTTCAATCACAATTATTTCCTAGTGTCACGGATACCTGTATGAACCATGGAAAGCACTGTTCTGTATAAAGAGACATTACTATTATGTTCACAGTTAGAACACGTGAAACTATCGAGGGCTGATTTTGTCCAGCAAGGGCCACTGCCTTCCACTTTGTTAACCACAGCTGTAATTAGAAATTGTCTCAAAAGTTAGGGTTAAGTAGTTCAACTTCCAATAACTGGCATTCATTGATTTTTTATATTACCCACCTAATTTCCCGATCATGGATTGAAGATGAAAATGCAATATTCAGTGTTACTCCATAATTCCTCAATGACTGTTGTATTTCATCCAAGCCACTTATCTGCTGACTCTTCCCACTACCCTGTTAAAAGTAAAAATGACATGTTGTTGGGGTTTTTTTTAACCATGTATTCTACTTCTGGTCACCTTTTCCTAAACTCACCGACAAAAGTTTTTTAGTAATATCTTAAACCAAAAGAAAGTAACTTGGATGAAGGAAGATTTTGCAGTTTCAAAGACAGGATAAAAAGCACAGAGAGATTATAGGTACATTTGCTAAGGGATGTGAAGGAGGAGCTCACTCTCAGCTCTTTGAAACTAGGTATTAATTACTACTATTTGAGCCAGTAATAGTTTGTGAGGTTTTAGCCCATCAAAGCCTCTAAAATGACAATTACATGCATCTAGCTGTTGGAAGAGAAAAAACCCCATATCTCAATAGATACTTTGGTTTTGATGACATCTTCCACAACAAACTTTTAACGAAATATCTTTTCCATTTAAGATTCTGCTTACCAAGAATTTGTTAGAGTTATCAGAAAACTCTAAATTTATAAAATTACTTATGTTCAACTATCACGTTTTTATTTCTCTCTTAATCTGTGTTTTCTGCTGAAGGCATCAGAGCCTCAGTCTAGCAAGTACTGGTAAGTAAAAAAAAATAAATCTGTATTTAAAAATAAATACTTTATATCCATATGTATGTGTGTATATTTGCATGTGGTATCACCTGGGTACAGGGAAATAGAAACCAAAATTTATACACTTACTTCATCATAGGAAGTGAGGAGGTGGATTGTTTTCACTTTGCATGGCCCCTTAACTACCATCTCGCAGAACCGCAGGAAGTTATACAACTGAAAAGGTTTTATTTAATTTAGTAACTTGGAATGTTTTTAGTAGTTACATCCGTATCAGTACACCGAGTATGTACTTGCCTGATGAACACTCCGAATGTACGGGTCCTCCACCCAAACCTCGGAAACAATCTCAGAAAGGTACTCTTGGAAAACCTTTTCATAGCTGAAACCTGTTGCATTTTCCTCTATCCTGATCTGCTTATGGTATTTGCCATCTGAAAGGAAAACAAGTCTCTTTTTTCAGTACAGATCAGGATGTATTTCCTGCATTAACTACCTCACCCGTAAAATGTTCACATAGCAGCAGCTATTTAAATGTGAACGCCTACATAACAGCTACCTTGTTTCTCTTTTTCAATGTGTTTCTTAATGTCTTCAGCTCTGGTCATGTACTCGGATATTTTCTGCCGGTATCGGTGCTTTTTGGCCTCATCTTTCGTGGCTGTCGATCAAAAGCACAATCAAAAGTTCTACTCTCCCTCCCCACGAGGCGACGAGGGATCAGGGCGAGCCCTCAGCGCCAAACACGGCTCGTTCCTCCTCCAAACCTCCCCTCTCACAGAGCCGGGGGGTGTTTAACAACTAACCGCCTCATCGGCTCTGGCAAACGGCCGCCGAACCGCCCCGCCCGGTACCTTTCACCACCTGCAGCAGGAGGTCGATGCCCTCCTGGTAACACACTAGCGACTCCTGGAACCGAGACGCTACGTCCAGCTCTACCGCCCGCTTCACCGTCTCCGCCC